TTTGTTATTGGTATCTGCCTGGTGTCATACTTTACAATATGGACAACAGGAAGCTTTTCAGGTTTTTTGTATATTTGGTTGTGGGTTTTTTTATGAAATGGAATTATGAAAAAGGTGCTGGGGAGTTTTTAGTTGAAGCAGAGCTTTGCTCAGTATTCTTCAGATTTTATTAAAATAGTCTCCTTTTCCTTATTAGTAATTTATATATCTTCTATATATGTCTGAATGTGCATTTGCAGTGTATACACTTTGAACATGTTTTAATATATTACTATGGGCTTATAGAAATACATGTGTGAGTGACTTGTTACACTTTTTCTACGATCTCACTGATGATACCTCACTTCAGTTGCATTAAGTGACCAGTGCTGACAGCTGTGACTGGTTTGTGATGTTTCTTTAAATCTGAAGGATACTACTGCAAATGGGACTGAAATCAATTAGTCTACTAAATATTAGTCTTTATGAATGTAGTCATCTGCCTTGTACCTAACAGTACAAATGGACCTCTCATTACTATTCTTACTTATGTTCCTAGGTGATTTTTAAATCAAATTATGGAATAATTCAGCAGAATCCTCTTAGCGTATTATAGCTGATAATAATTCTTTTATAATGACTATGATCAAAAGAGAAGGAATTGCTTGTATCACCTAGTGCTAATAGTGCTCTTTTAATTTGCTATAAAATTGCACATGTACCAAAGACTAAGTGAAGCCCTGACTGACTTCACTTTTTCCCAGAACAGCTGTCCGACAGTAGCATTACAATCCCCAGTCTTCTCCTTGAAGAGATCTTTTACATCTTGCCTTTTTCATTTATTTTTTTTTCTGAATAGGTAGTTAGGTAATATCCTTGGAAACATGGGGAGAGGCAGTATTTTGTCAGATCTATCAAGAAGCCACTATTTTTTTCTTGACTTGGTTTAACATCGTTAAATACCACCTCTATTGAATTTTCGGGACATATTTCCTGACTTGATAAAATCAGCATTCACCTGGGAATTCAAAGACCTTCAGACCCAGCCTGATACAAACAACTCCCTTTTATGTTAATCCATTAGGTCTAAGTTTACAGCTATAACCTGAGTTGTGTATACATCGTTGCCATCTTCCTCACAGCTTATAATAATCTCTGTAATTCTTGAAATAGATTTGGGAGTAATGTGAAATGTTCTGAATGTGTTGTGTCTTTGCAATATTTTACTTTCAGTAAGTGACAAGTGAATTATCTCCTAGTTTAGCGTTTGACTATTTGCCTGACTACTAATAAGTGCAGATTAGTGGATTAATAACTTGGGTAATATTTTTCTTTGTAGGTTTCATGAAGCAATATTTTTCTGTTTACATGAAGCAGAACTAGGAAAATGAAGAGACTGGAGAAATGGGACAGATGGTCATATATTTCTCTGTTTTGTAAATATTAAAGTGCCATATGTAGGAAATTAGATTTCCTTTTGGTTGCAGAAATGTAGCTAGCATGTCCCTGCAGAGTTTATAATTACACTTATGGTAAGGAATTTAATTGGGTTTCAGCCCGTTGCCAAAACTGTGTTACAGTCTCAAATATCTATTTAAATGATGAAGGAAAAATTTTCTCTTACTTTTTCATCTCTCATCATGCCATTTTTTACATTGAACCTGACATTTTTTACTTAATCTATTGCATTTGCGTAGTTTGACATCAGTTATTACAGTTGAAATTACTGGAATTAAGCAATGAAATTGTCCTTGAAGAAATACTGCTGAAATGCTAACATATATATTTCTGAAGCAACTGTACAATACTGCTAGCTTTATAAAGAAAAATATATATAGTACCAGAGAAACTGTGATGAGCTTCTCAGGAAAATATTTACACTTGAGGAGATCTGTAATTTACCATACAGATGCTTGATTTTTAATTTTAATTTTTTTTTTTTTGCTACGAAATATCCAGTTCTGTTGAATTTCATTTGGCAGAGTGATGCTGAAGTAAACTTCAGTTTTCTTTGCCTTTTTTTGGTGTAGCTTTTGATATAACTATTGAACAAAAAATTCAAATCTTATCTAATTCTTGTTTATCCAGGCTGACAGCATGAAAGTGCATCAGTTAATAGCAAGTCTTTTTCATTACACTTTTCTCTTAATTGTAAGCGTTTCATATTAGTACTGAGTTTTTACTATCAAAGGAACTGAATAATTGTGTGGTTTAGCAGATTTTGAAGTTCTACCTTATTTGTGGGTAAAATTTGCCACACAGAAATGCTATTTTTATGTGTAATGCTCCTCATCCTTAGAGATGTTTATCCTGTTGGTCTTTTGTACCGATTATACAGAAGGAATCTTGTGAGATTGTGACATTCAGTATACACTGTAGCTTGTGTTGCAGTTTTCAAAACAGTAAAATATCCTCACATACACAGAATAAACCACAGTTTTTACATTTGAAGATTGAAAAAACCTAGATTATTGAATCAATATTTTTCTTCAATTTCAGATGCATCCCAGCTCTCTACTATGTAGAATACTGAACAAAATTCAGATTATTTTCTTCTTAAAAAAAATTAGTTCTTTTTTTGTCTGTTTGACTTCTTCTACCTCGATTAGCGCTTCAAATTGGCATGATTGATTTTATCTTTGTTGTTGGCTCATGAACATTTATTTATTGTCTAGTTTGTAAAATAATGGATGTTAAAGTGATACAGCTACTTAGGATGATGATGATGATGCTGGAAAAGGGTGCATAATTATTTCACATAAGTAAGCCCTTCACCAGTAATACTGTGTTAGGCAGGTTAATCCTAGGATCATGGGACCACAAGATAGTTCAGGATGGAAGGGACTTAAAAGTCTTTAGTCCAATATCAGACCAAACAGGTTGATGTGGCAGGTTAGGCCAAGCATCTACACAGTCTCTTGCTCAGTCCCCTCGTCCCAGTCCAGTAAGACTTGGCAGTGTTCGAGCGATTCCCCCAAAGTAAGTTAAGACACAAATGAGGTCAAAATACTGTTAGGGAGTGAGACTATTATTGGTCACACAAGTGGGAAGAGAAAGGGCAATAGGAAAATTAGAAACAGGAAAGGGGGATAGTTAGAAGTAAGCAATATTTGGTATGCCAAAGCAGAGACAGTCACTACCATGGATCCAGATGATCAGTAGTCTTGTGGAAAAGGGGACAGTCACCACCATAGGTCCAGAAACATTCTGATGATCCACAGTCATTTTCTTTCGGTGGTGAGCAAGCACACCCTCACTCTGGATGCTGGTCCTTTTTCATAGGGCTCTCTAGGGTGCTGCACACCACACCCTCACTCTGGATGCTGGTCCTTTTTCATAGGGCTCTCTAGGGTGCTGTTTGGTCAGCTCCCCTCGAGTTGCAGGGTGAGTTCATAGCAATTCCCAGAGAAGTCACCTCATGAGTGTCCTGAGATTGGGGTGCAGCAGTGGTGCCTCATTATTTCGGCAGCTAGAGATAACTTCCATGACTGGAGGCATCCTGTGGCTCAGCAAGCTTTGGATGCTGGTCCTTTTTCATAGGGCTCTCTAGGGTGCTGTTTGGTCAGCTCCCCTCGAGTTGCAGGGTGAGTTCATAGCAATTCCCAGAGAAGTCACCTCATGAGTGTCCTGAGATTGGGGTGCAGCAGTGGTGCCTCATTATTTCGGCAGCTAGAGATAACTTCCATGACTGGAGGCATCCTGTGGCTCAGCAAGCTTTGAGGCAATCAACCACAGCTTTGCCACACAATAGGCTGTCAAAGCCAGGCAATGTCAAAACAAACATTTCTTAAAAGTCCCTTACACCCCTCACCACCAGCAAGACAGGGATTAAATTAGGAAGGCTGAGACTGAGAATACTCATGTGTCAAGGTAAAGACAGGAAGATCACTGGCAAATTACTGTTTTAGGTAAAACAGACTCTAGTTGGGGAATTAAAATTTATCATCTATTAACATAAAAATTTGATTACTTGAGTATTTGGAAACAAAGAGGACAAACAGGGAAGATACCTTTCTGCCTCTCTCCCTGACTCTAGGTGCCTCTCGTTCCCCATTCCTAGTCTTTACTCCCCTTATTGCCACTCATGCAGGTGACAGTCCTTTCAGTAAGGTGATGGGTAATACATCACGTTAGGCTGACGTTAGGCTGAAGACATAATGGTTTCATTCTGCCATTCCTACTTTTTCACTCTTTTCTCCCACTAGTCCTTCTACTTAACTCGTTTACTCTTTTTCGTTGTGGGTTATGCACAGGCAAAGGTCCTGTTGGGGATGTATTTGGTCTCGCATGGGCTTATGCATTGTCCTCAGTCCCTTCAGAGTCCCATGTTACCAACGGTGCCATGGAGTACCTCCTACTACCTTGATCATCTTCTTTTGATTCTCTGCTTGGTGTTGTAAGAGGTACTATAAACTCTTTCAACTCTCTCAGTTGTGTCGTGCGGTGGGCCTGGCTAGAACTGTCTGTATCTATCACAGCACAACTGCTGTCCTGCCTCCCACACAAGTCACCCCTGCAGCCAGCCCTCACTACCAATACCTTGCTATTTATATCCAATACACTTGAAAACAAGAATATTGTGGGGTGCAAAAGTGTCAAGGTAATTGCCATCCCCTGTTCTTCTCTCATCCAGAAAATGAGTAATTTTATCCTAGAAGCAGGTGGGGTTGGTCAGGCATGATTTACCCTTGGTCAGTCTATGCTGAGTGTTCCCAATCACTATATTTTCATTGAATTTCTGGGTTTATGTTTGTGTGTATTTCTATCGGGTTTTCTTTTCTTTTTTTTTCTTTAATATTTGGGACATGAGGCTGTTCTGTTTCATGTAACATCTTTGCTTATTTTGATTGTTTTTCTACCTCTACATGTGCTTTGGTTCAAAACATAACAATGCTTAGCTGAAACTTCAGATTTATTGAACAGGTCCTATATATAGAATGAAAAAAATGCAAAACCTAACAATACAAAATGTAAACTCATAAATACCCAAATGTATTTACAACCTACTTTATATTTTTCAGCTTTACTGCAAGTTACAATTTCACTTAGCAAAGTTGAGCTCAGTGTGGGTGAATCCAAGTTCTTCACATGCACAGGTATGTGTTAATTTTACTTGTAGGTATGTAATTTTTGTTAAATTTTGAACATTCTACATATTTGAAACTGAATTAATTGCTTTAAAATATTAAATTAGCATATTGTTGTATATTCACCTTGACTTGTCAGAATTGTGACAAATGCTAGATCTTCACTGGCTTCACATTTCCAGTCTAGAATCTCTTCATTACCCACTCTGGATCACTCTGTTTGAATTCTCTGTATCAGTACAGGTAGTTTATATCTGTTAAGATGCTCTTTTAGTTAAAATATTTTCACTTGTCAAAACCAAGGAATTAAATCCTTTTCAACCTAATGAAACAGTTTTTCTGGTGAGGCAGTTATCAGTCAGGCAGAAAAGATTTTGCATTTGCAGCTGCCTCATATGGATCCTTGGTGTTGCTGAGTTGCCATCTTCCACTGACAGTGACACGTGGCCTGACTACACTGATGCTTGAACTGCTTGATGACTTGACCTGTTCATCCAGTGATGGCTGAACAGCCTGTTTCTTTCCTTTAAGACTTTACACCTGTCTGTGGGGATTCTTTTCCCTCCTCTTTAATCCTTGATCTGGTATTTATTCTGTCTCAATGATCATCCATCTGCCTGCAGTTTTGTCTTGCTTGTCTTTCTACAGACTTTCTCACAGTGGGTAGGCATATGCATTGCATAACGTCCTCCTGAACTTCTAAACTTGAATTGTTTTTTGGTTTTGTTTGTAGCCATTGGTGAGCCTGACAACATAGACTGGTACAATCCACAGGGAGAGAAGATCGTTTCTAGTCAAAGAGTAGTTGTTCAGAAAGAAGGTGTTCGATCACGCCTAACCATTTATAATGCAAATATAGAAGATGCTGGTATATATCGGTGTCAAGCAACAGATACTGAAGGACAAACTCAAGAAGCTACTGTAGTTTTGGAAATTTATCGTAAGTAAAACGTTATCAAATAACAAATGAAAGACTGTTTTAAAAACCACTACTATTGAGAAGGTAAATTCTATCAAAATGTCTTCTCAAGCTCTGAACTTTATCTTCCATATATTTGCATCTCCTGCAGCTTAGTTAATAGATATTGTGACAAAGACTTAAATTAAATACATGGCCACGTAGTAATATTGTAGATCACTTTTCCTTTGTATCTTAGAATGTCATCTTATTGAGTGCACTGTATGCCCCTCATGAAAAAAGAGAAAATATGAGAAAAAAGATCAATGCAATTCTTATTGCAAATATATCTACAATATATTGCAAAAATTTGCATACATTAAAGTGCAGGAGATGTAATATATGACATTTAAAAAGTGGAGTTTTAACTGAATTAGTTATTCTTATGTCAGTCTTTTCCTTTTCTTGGCTCTATAATGGAATTTTGCCATAATGCATTGAAGCTTAGTGTGATGCGTAACCAAAATGCATTTAAATTGCAAGCAACTAATTTGAGGAGTATATTTGAAAAATAAATACATTCTATTGTAGTAAGAGATTCGCTGAGAGATTTGGCTTGGGTTTTTTCCCTCAATGTAGTTGAATAATGTTTCATTGTACTATACTCTCTAGATAAGCAGAAATTGCCTTAAAAAAGTACATTAAACAAGCACACAGTGAAGATGTCAGGCAAAGTCTTTGTTGGTAAAAGGGTGGGACATATGCCAGCAACCTTTCAGCTTAGTTAGTCTCTAATTTCATTGGAGAACAGTTTTTTAAACACTTAAGAAATTGCAGAGTAGAATGGTAATGCACTGCTTCTGAAGAGTTCAGATAACAAGACATACTGTTAAAAAAAAATCTGTTAATAAAACAACCGTTAACAGACTGATAGCAGTTACAAGTGATTACATGATGGCAGTTCAAAGGATTTCAAGTTTTGTGGAATTCATTTGTTTGCATAAAACTGCCAGATACTCCATTAGCAGACTACTGAGCAAGGTAGAAGTGTTTGAATGAGGTAATTTTAATAAGTATGAAGTCAGATAAACCCCAAAACCTACACAAGAAATGCGAAGGTTTGTGGGAACGGACATATAAAAGTTTCATTATTCGTATTAGTGATGTAAGAAAAACAGGATACACTATTTATTGGTAATCTTCAGTGCTCACTCAAGTCTGTGAGAGGTTTTCTTCTAACTTACATATGTTCAAATGCTTCAAGCATTTCATATGAAAGTATATAACTGTTGTATATAACAATAATATGCTCCCTTTGCTGTGGGAACTGTGGAGTATTTGAGCCTGCACTCATAGCAACAAAAATAATGGAGATGAAGCTGCATCTCTGACTTATGTTCTCCAGAGTGTCCTCTGAAACAAAATTTACCATCTTTGATCTGAAAGAGCATAGGTTGGTTTTTTTATTCTATGTGCAAGAAATTCTTCCAGGTTTTTTCTTTTTTGTCAGGCAATTGATTCCTGCATTAGATCTTGTATGAGATCATGGATTAATGCCATCTTGGACTTCTAACACTAAATTCTAATAATACTGAATTTATTCAACTAACTAATAAAATCAAATATAATTTGGTTATTTGGGGTTGGAAAAATTAAAAGCCTCCTCAGGCCTAAAAAAATTCTAATTAGTTGCTAAAAAACAAAGCTGCAATTTCTTATGACTTAACAGTGTTGTTTTTTCATGTGGTTTCTCACTGGCTTTTAAGATTTTATATTTTACTCAGCTGATGTTTTTCTCAGTCAGTGTGGCTAAAATTCTACTTTTTTAATAAGAATTTTCTGCATTTTGATGGTAGTTTTGATAGCATAAAAGCATGAGGCTTTAATTCAATAATAAAATAATGAAGAATAAAATACACAAGAGAGTAAATAGATAATTAGCATGAATATATACACTTCTAAGACCTGAAGTTTCAAAACTGGGCTCTGGAACATTGAAAACAATGAAAATACATTTATAAAACATACACAGTGTATATAAATATAACAAAACTTTTCAAAATACAACATGATTAAGTCATTTTTACAGACAGAGTGGAAGTCACGTGTCCAGGACAATTTGAGTCTTATCTGAGAAAATTATATTGTGGGAATAATTATGTAGTATCACAATAAGAATTCTTAACAGTCATATTTATCCAATTTGTTGTTACATATTATTTTAATATTAACTGAACTGTTAGACACTTACTGTACTCTGTTGGGTTTTTTCTTTTACAGAAAAGCTCACTTTTCGAGATATAATATCTCCACAAGAGTTCAGGCAGGGAGAAGATGCAGAAGTTGTTTGCCGTGTTACTAGTTCTCCTGCTCCCGTTGTCAGCTGGTTGTATCGGAATGAGGAAGTCACAACTATTGCTGACAGTTAGTATTTTGGTAACTCTTTCAGCTATACATTCCAATTAATATTAAAATATTATTGTAAAAAGAGACTAATCACATTATAATGGGAGATTTTGATTAGCCTATCAGCTTAAGTATAACTCAGTCATGTTCTGTGGTCTGTAGAGTATCCATATACAATGATTTCCGTTATGTGTCAGTTTTTCCAAATGAGGATTTTGTCAAGATGTAGCATGAGGGTCCAAATGCTCAAAAGATTGCTGGGAGCACCTTCACAGGAACTCTTCTTGGTTTGCCTTGTATGTAGGAGTTGAATACGTTTAAAACATACACAGATGAGCTTCACTGTGCACACAAAACTATGACATTAACCAAACACTGCATTGACTTTGGGATACAGGTAGGTCTGTATGTAGTTGGTAAGAGTGGTGGGAAAAGGCCAAAAATGTTTTTATTGTGTTACACTTAGTTTACTCATGGGAATACCTACTGCTGTATCCACTGTAATTTTCTTCAATGAAAGTTGAAAAATTATCCAGCCAACACTTAGAGTTGTTTTTTTCCTGTTACTAAATGAACTCTTCAGTGTTTTACAGAAGTAAAGGTGACCTCCAGCCCTCTCCATCTTTTAACACATGAAATATTTATGTTAAAGATAAGTTACCAATACTTAAAGAGGGGTTGGGTGTCTCCTTTTCAAAATATTTGGAGGCACGGTTCTCAGGAAATTATGTAAGGGCAGGAAAAAGAGAGATTATATAATTTGTATGTGGTAGTGTGTGAAATGGTATTAATGTTCAAGCATCACTTTAATAAACCAGACATAATTAGCGTAAATGTGTTGAGGACATTGGTGTCCTGTAAACCTCTATCAGGTGAAGAATAATTAAAATTGCTTTTTTCACTTCTCCATTTTATGATAGAAATCTTGCTGCTGGAACAGAAGTCACTGGTTGCTAGCTGAAACTGAAAGCTAGTTAATCTCATCATCCTCCAATACTGGAAGGATGACACTGCTTTGAATAGACTGAGATAGACAGCTGAATAACAAGCATGCAGGTTCTTCAAAAACCACATGCAGTGATACGTAGGAAATAATTCTCCTTAAAGAGTCTATTAATATTGACTTGTTTTGGTGGGTTGACCGTGGTCAGCTTCCAGGCACCCACCCAGCCACTCTCACTTGCCCTCTTCAACAGGTGTGCTGGGTTGACTCTGGCTAGATGCTAGGTACCCACCAAAGCCCCTCTATAACTCCTCCACTTCAACTGGACAGGGGAGGTAAAATATAACAAAATGCTCATGGGTTGAGATAAGGACAGGGAGAGATCACTCACCAGTTGCCATTATGGACAAAACAGACTTGTCTTGGGGAAAAAGTAATTTATTACCAACCAAATCAGAGTAGGTAGGATAGTGAGAAATAAAAGCAAATCTTAAAAAAACTTCTTCCCCACACATCTCCCTTTTTCTTGGGCTTAACTTTAGTCCATATTTTCTCTCCTCTATCCAGCAGTGTATGGAGGCAGGGAATGGGGCTGTAGTCTGTTCATCACACATTGTGCCTGCTGCTCCTTCCTCCTCAGAGGAAGGACTCCTCACATTCTTCCCTTGTTCCAGGGTGGGATCCCTCCCATGGCAGGCAGACCTCCATGAACTTCTCCAATGTGAGTCCTTCCCAAGGGCTGCAGTTCTTCAAGGACTGCTCCAGCATGGGTCACTTCCATGGAGTGCAGTCCTTCAGGAACAGACTGTTCCAGCATGGGTCCCCTATTGGGTCACAAGTCCAGCAGGATAACCTGCTTCAGTATGAGCTCTTCTCCCCACAGGATGACAGCTCCTGCCAGGAGTCTGCTCTTGCATGAGTTTCTCACAGGGTCACAGCCTGCTTCCAGGCATCCACCTGCTCTGATGTGGGGTCCTCCAGGGGCTGCAAGTGGATCTCTGCTCCACTGTTGACCTCCATGGACTGCAGGGGCACAACCTGCCTCACCATGGTAGGCACCACAGGCTGCAGGGGAGTCTCTGCTTTGCCACCTGGAGCACCTCCTCCTCCTCCTCCTTCTTCACTGACCTTGGTTTCTGCAGGGATGCTCCTCCCAAATGTTCTCACTCCTCTCTCAAGCTACACATGCTGTTGCACAGTAACTTTTCCCCTTCTTTAGTACATTATCCCAGAGGTGCTACTACTGTTGCTGATAGGCTTAGCCTTGGCCAGTGGTGGGTCTGTCTGGGACCTTGCTGGCATTATCTTTGTCAGATGGGGGAAACTTCTGGCTGTTTCTCAAGGAAGCCACCTCTCTAGCACCTCCATTACCAAATCCTGGCCACAAAATCTGAATACAAAAGTAAAGGAGGAGAAAATTAGATTAAAATGCTGGGGTGTTGAGATAAAGACAGGGAAATCACTCAGCAGTTACCAGCACAAACAAAATGCATTTGAATTAGGGAAAATAAATTGAATTTATTGCTGGTCAAATAAGGTTGGATGGTGAAACTAAAAAAAAGACAAAATTAAAGCAACACCTTCCCCCTTCTTTTTCCCAGCCACAACTTCAGGCTTTCATTGCTGACTCCTCTACCTCCCCTACCCCAAGGAGTGCAGGGAGATTGAGTAACAGTGGTTGTGGTCAGTCCATAACAGTTACAGTGTGGACCCTTGCTGTGGGTTGCAGTTGTTCATGATAAACTTGCTGCAGCAAGGGGTCTTCAATGCAATGTCGATACCTGCTCCACCATGCTCTCTCCTGGGGCCAAGACATCGGCATGTAAACCCAATGCACTAGTCCAGAGAGAAAGGATAGGAAAAATTAAAATTCAAGTCCAATTTACTCTTCAAGGTTGTAATTTCACTACTGAATGTGCAGAAAATGTGTGCCTGACTGTTCAGAATTTGATTTTTTCAGTGCTCTTCAGCTACTCAGAAAGTCTATTGAATTTGAGTTTATGCTGGTCTATACAGAAGATAGAGTGGGTTTTTTTAATTACATCTTCACACCCAATTTTATAAAGTGTTAGACTGTGGTGAGATAAATCACTGAGTAACAGTAAGTGAGGAAAGGAAAAAGTGGAGGGAAGGAGGGCAAACAAGCTGAAAATAATTAAAAATAGTGCTGTAAAATGGTCACAAAAACAGTTGGTTAATCTAGACAGAAATGGAAGGAGCCATTTGTTGCTTATTTTATTATAAATTGTTCAGTTTATCTTTTTCTATTTTTTCCATTTAATCTTATTGATATTCTATGTAGGTGCTCATGAATATTCCACTCATTTTGCAATAAATTGTAAATTTAAGTTACATTTGATGACTCTTCAAAGTAGGAAGTTATGGATGGAAAATCCAGACTGAAATGGCAAAGTATTTTAAAATGATGGAAAAACAAATTTCTTAGCTGATATTTTGCTTTTAAATTGACAAATGTGTTGTCAGTGAGCATTTGGATTGTACTGAGAAAGGGCATAAATATTATTCATTTAAGTTGTTGTTCCTCATGTTGTCTTGATTTACTGACACCACTTAATCTCCTATTTGACTTTCTAGATCGATTTGCAGTATTAGGAAACAATAATCTCCAAATTCTTAACATCAATAAAAGTGATGAAGGAGTGTACAGATGTGAAGGAAGAGTGGAAGCGAGAGGAGAAATTGACTTTCGAGACATAATGGTTATTGTGAATGGTAAGGAGCAAAAATTGGTGAATTGATTTCTTGATTATTATGGCCTATTTTAACCTATATAAGCTTCAAAAAAATCTGATTAAACTGGTTAATGTAATTGTCATGTCTGTTTAGTATTGTTTTCCTACAAATGTAATTGCTTATTAGTGAAAAAAATCTGCTATACTGTGTAAATAGAATTCACTAACTTTCATATCAGTAAACATAAATATGTAAAACTTGGATTGCTGTTATTAGTCACTCAGAGAATGCTGACAATTACTTCAAGACCTGAGTTTCACATTATGGTATTTCAGTTCACTCTATTTTTCAGTGTTTTGTCATTTACTCTTTAAAAACGCACTTGGTTTTTCAGAATTATTTACCCTCACTGTGTTAATGTACTTTATGAGCTGTCACAAAAGTCACAGATACGTTTTACTAAGAATAACAGTCTTAGTTATAGGGGCTTTTAGAGTTTATTTTAATGAGGAATGAAAGATATAAAGTTACATGAACAGTGGCATTATGCATTTTATTAGTTTATAATAAACTTCTAAGAAGGAAAATGAATGAATTGAGACACAATGGCACATTTAGCTCAACCTCTATTAAATTCAGGGTTCACCTGTTGAAAGATAAATATCTTTTCATATATTACCTGGAAAGGGCACAGTTCATAAAGGGCATCTTTTATCTATGCACTATTTAATGTTAGCTTTTCAATGAAATTTTTTCCACCATACCAGTTAGTTTCTGAGCTTTAAATGCTTTGTCCTTGACAGGTCCTTCTCTGCAAAACCCAGTTTGTAGAAGTCATTGTGGAAATTGAATTCTCATTCAGTTTCAGCAGAAACAGCAGATTCTGGCACAGGCACTGCTTAATCCATGTAGTCAAGCAGCAATCTTTGAAGCAGAATTCTTTAGATTGTTTGTAGGTAGTACATTTTGGTGCTGCGTTACCTCAACTCCTGGTTATGTACAATTCCAACAGTGCATGCAGTAGCATTTAAAATGCTGAATGAGATTTTCTTCTGCTGCTATTTGTGTACATGGATATGAATGTACATTCTGATCACCTTTCACTTCTATCTGATATTTATGTGCAGTTTAGCTGTGGGAGATCCTGTATTTAACCTAAAACTGTGGTTTGACTTCACATCATTTATTGCTGGGTTATATGCACAAAATTGGTTCTTCAGATATTTATTATTACTGCAGACAAGAATGCTAACACTCACCTCTAATCTTCAGTGTTGGGAGGAGAAGGAGTTGCCAAATGAGCAATTCTGACATGGTTTTGTCTTCATTTATAGTAATAAATAAGTTTTCCTACCTAAAGTTGAATGTATAAAACTTGGTCCAAAATAGCTTTTAGAGTAATACCTTGCACCTAGTAAGACATTGTTCTGGTTTCAACTAAACCAGCTAAACTAAACTAAAAGATGTCCAAAGCTGGATAAACCATGGCTAAAGAACATAGGAATACTTTATCAAGTCTGGCACACCATGTTCATTATATTGGCTATTTTATGAAAACCTTCCTTAAAGTATATATATAAACAGGATACAAAGTTACTCAAACATTTAAAAGAAAATCTTGGAACTAGGTTTGATATATACAATGTAGTTTCTAATGTATGGAAATCTTTGGAGGGTTATAATAGGTAATTAATAGAAGTAAATTTGAGCTGGATTATCTCTTCAAAATCTAATGTTTCTGTATCTTTTGCTCTTGCAACACTAATTTTTTCATAGTATTTGTTTTCTGTGCCTATTTACGTAGGCAGGTTTTTGTATGATTGGAAATGATCAGCATAAAAGTGAACCAAAGAATTCAAGTCCTCCTGAAAACAAAACCTTCTTTTATTTGTTCTTTTGACTCTTTTTTTCTCTTCTTTTTTCTTTTTTTTTGAAATGATTTTCTCCTAATGTTCTTCTTACATTTACTTTTTCAACATTTCTTTACTGTATGGCAAGTTCCATAAATGGAATAGTCATCCTGATCTCACTGAAATAAATGAAAAAGAATTGTTTTCATTTAAATGTTACTGAACTTTAGCACTGTGCTTTAAGTGTGAAATGTGAGACTTGCCAATATATCTTCATTTCTGTTTTCCTCTTTTAGGTTCTCACTTTAGTTCTATCCTACAAGAGTAGAAGTAAAAATATACAGATCGATTCCCAGAAATAATGATGAGAAAAATAAAATTTGGGTTTTGAAAAGAAAAAATATTTCCTTTCATTGTAATTGCAGTATCTCTTGGAAGATTGAAGCCCTTAAGTAATATGCTGAACCAAATCATAGTCCTGTAGTTTTTAGTTGTGAGCATTGAAGAATCTGCTATTTCTGGAAAAAAATTATTTCATCTCCTCATGTTTCTGAGTATAGTTCCAGGTCTAGATATTAGAATGCACTGCAAAATAGCTACAACTTATTAAACACTTTCTAAGTAACATTTTTTCATTGGAGATGGATACATTCCTGTTGCAGAGCAGAAGGCTTTTGTATGCTGAGTAATGGTCCATGCAGTTTCAGACAGGAAAGAAGTGATGTGTGAAATACAGTAAAATGCACCATAAAAAGTGGAAAGAATACATAACATACAGTTTCTGATAATTGATAATTCTGGCACATAATTTATAATAATTGGATATATTTAAGGTTCAGAAGCTGGAAATGCTTCTGAGGTAGAATAGTAAAGCTGAAATATTTGGTGCAAAGGAACAGCAGTTGATGCACATCAGTTGGTGATAAAAATCTGGTGAAGTTCAATGGTAAGCCTAAAGCAAATTCACTGGGGTTGCCTGTTTCACCTTATTTTCCCTGGCACTCTGATGACAAGATGATCCTGCTAGCAGAAATCTATATTTTGTGAAGCTCTTATCTTTTCCCTTTCCTCTTGTTTTCTTCTTCACATGTCCTGTTCCTTCCTATTTGTCTGGAATCATGGAATGGCTGGGAAGAAGGGTCCTTAAAGATCATCTAGTTTCAATCCCCTGCCATGGGCAGGGAGACCTCCCACTAGACCATGTTGCTCAGAGCTCCATCCAACCTGGCCTTGAGCACTTCATATTTGCTTGTTAGTTAATGGAAACAGACTTAGGACAACTGTATTAAAGTTGCCATATGAACAGATATTAAATATCAGCCTGTGAGTTGTTCTGTCTTAAATATTATTGGGGTTTTTTTTGTATAGGGTAGAGCTTCTCTGTAAACTTTTACAATTTTAATTATAACTTCATCCCATCAAGGATAGAAAGCATGTGTTGCTCTTAGAACACAATTACAATTTTTGGAAGAACAAATAGTTTGTGTCCATTCTATTGCATTTCCCTTTTGTAAGCTGGTGATACTCCTGCTCAGGAAGTATGCAGGAGTTCAGTAAAAAATGAATTTAAATTAAATTAAATATGCAGAATCAACACTCCTGCTTACTGACACCAGTTTTAAAAGCACTGTTTGACATCAGAATATAGTTTATGTCCTATGTATGTATTGTTTTATATATGTTGGGTATAATTTCAGTCATCTGAGAATATTCTGCAAGAAAATTGAAGAACTGCTGAAAAAGGCTTAAAAAATTTATTCTATTGGGGGAAAAATGTTAGATGTCCTGATGGTATTCAAGGTCTTGTATTTAAGAAGAGTAAAGAAAAAACTAGTAACAGTGATTCATATTGTAACTTGATCCCTAAGTATAATCGTCAATTCCCACATTAGCAATGGATCGTATCCTGCACTTTAAATTTCTCCAGAAACACATAAAATATTTTATTTTTCATTAATAGGACATAATGTTTTATTTCTTTCAGTTCCCCCTACAATTATTCTGCTACAGAAATCTTTTAATGCCACTGCAGATCGAGGGGAGGCAATAACTTTGTTCTGCAGAGCCACTGGATCACCTCCACCTGAAATCAGTTGGCATAGGTAAGTTCAGTTGAGGTCTGCACATCAGGGCACATTGTGTTAATGTGTCACAATTTTATATCACAGTCTGTTAAGCTGTGATTTCTTGAGTGGATTTTAAGAGCATTTGCTGTCCATTTCTATTCTAATTGCTAAAACTAGATTAAGCATTAATAAATGAATGAACTCGCACAAATTCAGTTGCACTCAAGTCACCAGCGAGATAAACATAAAAAAGCAATGGAAATACCATATTGACACGATTTTTTCATTTTTGAGCAGAAACAAAGCTGAAGCAATTAGTCCATATCTCAAAACTAATAAAAATACCTCAAACTAACAACTTTTGCATGAATGCCTTAGATTAAAACATATGTATTTATGCAATAAATATCCAACACAGACTAACAATACCGACTTAAAAGCTTATGTTTTCCCCATCTGTAAAAAGAGATTCTAAAACTAACTGTCAGTTTCAATGAAATTCAGAAGGAGGTCTGACTTTAGACACTTGTAGGGCATGGGATTGTTTTCATTGAATAAGTTTCAGTGCAATTTAATGTAATTTTAAACATGTAAAATGCTTTGAAAAGGGAATTGCTTTTAAAGCTCTTGTGTGTTTTTTGATTTTGTCAATGACATGAGCATACTATAGCTCTGTCATTTGGGAACAGTTACCTTATAACATTTATAAAAATTTAAATTTCCTTACAGTCTCTATGCTTTCACCTTGAACAAAGATATGCGGCAGTTCTGAGATATGAAGTATCTCAACAACTCCTACAAGTGCCCATTTCTATTTTAGACCTGAATAATCTGCATCTACTTATATTATTTCAGATGAGTTAAAAGGTCACTCCATTTTCAAAATGGGAATCGAAGGGATTTCCATCAATTCTTAATCTCCTTTGGAACCTTTGAACGATGTTAGATTAAGGTTAGCTTCCTTTGACTGATACCTTCATCTTAATATGCCATAAGTTAAATGTGAATTTAAATTTTTATCTTGTGCAGTTTGAATCCCAGAAGATGTAAATAAATAGAATACAAAGTTAACTTCTTCATGTGGTTTTGAATTTGAAATTTAGTGAAAAGGAGGATAAGGAAACCGAAAACATGTAGAGCCCAAATTAAAGAACTGAAACTGAATTCAAATTCTTGTTTAATATTCTTATTTAATGTATTTGAAGTAAGTTTTTACAGTGTCTGTTATCTGACCAAAAGTCCTAAAAGCCTGAAATCTGTTCTCCTAAATGGTTTTGATGTAAGACAATTGACATTATAATTTATATTGTTAAGAAAGAATGCATAAATTTCCACAGTTAGTGAATATCTCTGTTTGCAGTCAGTGTTTTATAAATATTACAGTACATACACAAAGTGTCTTGGAGAGACACTTAGCTTTATGTCTACTGATCAGGGCCTACCACAGGATTTCCCTTTGGATTGCCAGCCCTGGAAGCAGCTGACTTTTTTAAAGCATTTATTACATATCTTTTGTAAAGATTTTACAAAAGCTTCATAGGCTTGTGGATTGGATGTTGAATCTTACATGTGGAAGCTTCTATTCTGTTCCTGTTTCAGGAGCTGTCTCACAATGAGGAATATTGGTTATTGTGCCTCCCTTACCATTTGCTTGTTTCTTTCCCTTTCATTCTCATTTTATTTTGTCTTATCAGGCCATAAATTCTTGCCAGTAGAAAATATGACTGCTTTTTTATTTGCTGACCATAAGAGATTATAAAGTTGTAGGTAGAAAAGACCCCATGTATATGTACCCTGTGATAGGATATTATTTGTGGTATGCAAACAGGGAAAAAAAAGATGGGGGAACAAACCTATTTTTTTCTAGAGGAAGGAAATTATTCTAAATTGTATTCCAGTCCTAAATTTCTGCATCAGATTTCTGAAATCGCTGTCCTGAAGTGCTCAGGTCCCTGTTCCCTCACTTAGCCAGTAAAGAGGATTCAGAATCAGTTCATCTCTTCTCCTTGTCCTTGGACTTATCTAACACATATGTCAAGATAAAGACCTTTGTTTTCTTCAATACTTAGACTTTTCTTCTTTAGAAATTAGACTGAGCATGGGAAAACTAGATCAACAATATCTTTCTTGATTTTGAGAAAAATCTAGAAAGCATTGTTGGTGGTTGGAAAGTTTATCAAAACTGATTTACCTAATTTTAATATTGTCATCCATTGAAAACTCAATCGAATCCATTTATTGGAATTAATGGCAAATTATTCCCAATTTCATCCTGGTTTATGTACTTTTTGATGTTTAATGTAAGTTGATGTTAACCTTAGATTTATGTGTTTCAATTTCAATAAACATGTGGAATTATGTATTGAATTTGATCAAGTATAAATACTGATTTTGGAAGGATTATAATCTTTGGTTACAGCAAGTTGTGGTAATTGTGTTCAGTTTTATACCCAACTGTGCCACTTATCTATGTGAGTTCAGACATTTTATTTAATTTGCCTCAGGTTAACCATTTGTAAAATGGGTATGTGTAATAAAGTGACAATGGAAGACTGTTTTCTGAATTCTCTGAATAGCTATGTATAGCTAATAGCTTCAGAGAGATGAAAACTATTAGAACAGAGAATAATCATAGAATTTCCTGATGTGTCATTATAAAATGCTCAAAAATATACCGAGCATTCTGGAGACTTGAAGAATTGTTATGAAAAAAAAAAGGATGGGGATGATTTTTACTCTATTCTGCTGGAGGATTTTCATTATATACTATAGAAAGCATATCTGTGCCCATTGAGGTGGTTCATCAGGATTAAAGACCTGTTTATATGTAGTCTTCTTGTGTCTTTGTTGCCTTTTAAAATGGGTTCTCACATGAGTTCTTTGCCAATTTGGTCTACAAAAGTTTCTTTAGCAAGGCCTGCAGAATTTGGAACTATCCAAAGGTAGCTTTACTTTGCTTACAGTCCACTGATATTACAATCAATTAAAAATTAAATTATCTTTATTTTTATTTCTCTTGTTTCTTTTTTGGTTTCCAATGAACTGATTTTAACAGGTCATCTTCAGATAGGGCATGAAATATGTATTTTTAAAATCAGATGCCAATACTATTGAAGTGACTTAAGTAACCTTCTGTGTTGACTGTAAGGAAGATGCTGGACAAAACAATAGTCTTAGGCTTTTAATTCTTTAAGACAGTAGCTAATGTGGTAAAACTTGAAGTATTTGTTGACCCATTTTTCCAGGTGCTGATGATGTTTAAGATTTTGTTAATTCAAAATGGATCCATCTGAACTAATGTGTCTTTCTCAAAAGATGCTTCAGTTCACTTAAAAATTAGTCAGTTTCAAACACCTAGCCAAGAAGAAAGGTCAGCAAGGTTTAGTTGCTGCTCTATTTAATATGCATATATACATTGTTGACATTTCATGGACTGAGAGAATCTAATTCTTTCACCACTCAACTGATATTTCTGTTGAAGCTGGTAATACATTTATGTAAAGCATAACCTTCAGAGAAATGTTGCACTAATGGAATTAAATTAGACAGGACTGAAAGACAAAGATCCTAATGTAGATAGAGGTCATGAACTGGAAATCTTTCTCATGTGACTAGTCCTACTGAAAACATGATGATTGTTTACAGCTGCGGAGATCATTTACACTAGTAAAATTTAGCTAGATCAATTTCCTGGTCTTTACTGACAGCACTTAGAGTGGATTATTTCTTTTGTAATATAATTCTATGTTATTCACGTTTTCCTGTTATCCAATATCAGCATCAATGCTGAATCTTTTCTCTTTATTAGAGGGTCCAGGAAAATGCTGGTAATCTCATTTCTACTTAGAAACTGCTATGAATATAAGCAATGTTTGTGATAATAGGCATCTGGAAATTGCTTCTAACCTCAAATGTAGACTTCTGTCTTCTAGAAGAAATCACTAGATTTTGGGTTGGGTTTGTTTTTGTGTAACCACCTAATGTGGAAAATTAGACATTTCCTGTTCTATAAAACAATTTCTCTTATTTGCTTTGGAAAGGATATGAACAAGTATCATAATAGTATCTTGAAATTGACAGCTAAGTGGACTAGAATTATTTACAAATGGTACTAAAATGCAAGCTGTATAGATGCCTGGGGACTCCTATTCATAGATATTAATGCTCCCATGAAATAAGCAGTATCCTCACTTTTAGAGAAAACAGGATTTCAGAAAATATGAAATATATGTTATTATTGTTACATGAGAATAAAGTGATAATCATTTTTGCTCAAAGCTCAAAATAACATTAGAGGTTCTAAACTAGGCATATTGAATAGAAAAGAAATTTTGAGTAATTCATATTGTTTTCATTTTACAA